TGTGTGTGTGTGTGTGTGTGTGTGTGTGTGTGTGTGTGTGTGTGTGCGTGTGTGTGTGTGTGTGTGTGTGTGTGTGTGTAAACAGTATACACACACGTTTCTCTTAGCATTTTTTTTCCCCTTTTGCACATGTTCTGCTCACACGTGTCTGTCTTAGACATGTATTTCTAGAATAAGGCTGACGGCCTCTAACTGCTGGAAAATGTATTGTACAGGGTATAATTTAAAGTTTATTAGCAGGAGTGAATAAAGACAAAGTAAAGTTAAATTTTCTTTTATGTAGAGTAGAATTTTAGACGAGGATTTCTTCTTGAACCAGCTTGAATTATGCGCCGTAACTCGCATCCTAAAGATGTCAGATAAACATTTTCACTTTGAACTGCGGGCGTGTTAAAGGATAAAGCAGCATAAACTAGAAAAGCTGAAGTGTGATCAAGTGCAGCCTGACTTATTTCTCTTCAACGTCTGCTTTGCTTCTCCTCTTCCTCTCTTGTTGCCTCTTTCATCCTGTCTTCCCTTCATGTTTAGATCCTGCTGAACTTCCATCTCAGCGTGCCGTCCTCAGAGGACCTGAAAACCACTGTCACCCTCATCCTGCAGCCTGAGACGCCACCAAAGATCAGCTTCAGCAAGCTCTGACACAAACATGGACGTGCGTTTTGAATCGGAAACATTTATTCACACAGTTTAATCTTTCACAATGAGCTTTAGATCCACCTCATGCTTTACATTTAGTCCAAGTGTCAAATAAAGCATAGTTTTTCCCTCTTCCTGAACCCACCACAGCTTTGTTAGCATTTCCATCCATCAGATGGTGCTAAAACTCTCACAGCACACCTGTAAACCTTTTTCTTGTTTTTCACCTGTCAGACTGCTCGCTGCTGCCCAACAGGTTGGTCATGTTTCCTTTCTTAAGAGCTAAACTTTACTTCCTTTATATTACACTGTGTGTGTGTGTAGTTAAATGACAAGAACGTTTACTTTGTAGCAGCTCATTTGTTTTTCTACCTAATATTGATCCAGCTGATGTTTTTATTGGACAATTCAAAAAATCTTCCCCACAAAATAATGGTCAAATGTGACCAGATTACATGCTGTTTTTTCTCCTCTTTTTTTAAAATTTGAATTCATACTCATTTAAAATGGTCCTTGTGAAGTTTCACTTTGGTTTCCATGACTAAAAGTGACCTTTGCAGACTCTGAAAACACTTTGCGGCATTGCTGATTCCTGTAAGGTGTGAGTTTTACAGTGCAGAGCTGCAGGTTAGATTCTCGGCTCGGGAGCAAAGGTTTGTTTGTCTCTGAGTCAAAGATCTACACGCCCTGTCAGCGTGGGACTGTGCGTGACTCTGCATGGCTGCGACTCAGCAGAGGAAACTGTGTCAGGGAGTAGAAGTGGAATTACCTCTGTGTGTCGCCTCATTTGTCTCATGTTTTGAACAACAGACTGCTCCCAGATTTCCAACGCAGCGGGAGTTTTTGAGTTGAAACAACTGAAAACTGCTGCGAAGAAACTCAGACCTTCATTAATTTATCAAGCACAAAGAAAATACTATAAGGGCTTTACGTGTCAGAAAGTTCCAGCTTCTGCTTTGTACATAATAAATCTTTCTTTATAAATATAATGAATGTTTAATAAAATGTCTGGATTAATTTTTTAATTTATATATATATGTATATGTATATATATATATATATATATATATAT